TTCATCGCTTCATCGCTTCATCGTTTGTAAAAATCGGCTGGTGTGCGGCGGCCTTTACCAACATGTGTCAATAGAACTGGTGGTTCGTAAGCCGGAAAAATGACGGGAACGCTCATAAAACACGAGTTGTCTGTTTCAGCGCCGTTGGCTTAATTTATTATTCGACAGGAAAAACGGGATATTGTCGGAAGTTTAATTAAGTTAAACGCAGCAATAATTAAGCGCACAACGGGCTTACAGAGTCTACAGTGTGAACTAATTTAACTTTATTCGCGTCATAAGCGTGGCAAACAGAGAAATGCAAACGGTCGACATTCTGCCCCGGTAATCAGTAAGTCATGAAATCGCGTAAATAACTCGGTGAATCTCGTTAAGTCATTTTCTTTTTTAATCAAGAATTCTGCGATGGAAGAAAAAACGAAAACCCCCGTTTTCCGTTTCCGGAATGCTGTTCCGGATGTGCTAATCGTGTTGGTGCGCTCTGATTGCTCCTGCCAACAACAACCAGACTATCATCTTTTGCGCATTATCGTTCTAATCACGTGCTAACGCAATTACAATAGAATGCTCGGATGTTGCGCGAGCGAATAAAACCGATGTAAGTACACCGCAGATTTACCTGAGTGCGCCAGACGATTGCTCGTCGGTCCGAACAGCTGGTATGGATCGGCACCTGCAAATACACGAACATGTATCAGTGCAATCGGATTATGCGACGAATTTAGGACGATTATTAATTCAAAGATTAATTTCTAGTTATTACATGATCCAGTACGAAATAACAATACACGATTCGATAACAACAATCTATAATCGAAATATCAATACACAAGTCAATCGATGTCAGCAATCGATAATCATGATATTAATACATGAGCTCGATATCAATAATCGATAATCCAAACATCAATACATGAGTTCGATATCAATAATTGAGAGTCGAAATATCAATATACGATTCAATATCAATAATCAGTAATCACAATACGCATTCAATCGAGTAGGGATCTGAAGAAAACGAAACACCAAACACGGACAATATTGATTGAATATAAGTCTGATAGCGCCATCGCTATAACACCGGACCAGAGATCGACGCACGTTGAATTCGAAAGTGCCGAGTGAAGCCGGGTAGGGCCTCACCCGGTAAGTGTCACTAAAACGGCGCGACACAGCATCGACGGTCGCCTCATAACCGGCACGTCACCGTCGCCACGACAGACGGTGACGTCGGTGAGACCACGTGACCCTCAAATGCGAGAAGCCAACCTCCACGCCCCCTATAATCTCGTTTGCCTCGGCCGCGGCTTCACCGCTCGTTCGTTATGTATTTAAATTCGAGCTGATGCGTTGACGCGGGGACAAAGCGCGGCCGAGGCGTGCAACAACGGAGGTCGAATCAGCTGCCGCTTAATTACGCTGTGCCGTGATGACGATTGCCAATTAGGGACGCCCAATTGGCACCGTAATTGTGTTATCTGTGCCGCTGAGAGAGTACTGCTGACTTACGGGCATTCTGGCGTGCATGCCGTGATATATATATATATATTATACATATGTGGTGTGTGTGGGTGTGTTGTGGTGTGTGTTTGTGTGTGTGTGTGGGTTTTGGTGTGGCGTTGTGTCGTGTGAGTGTGTGTGTGTTACGTGTTGGGTGTGTACTGTGTGTGTGTGTGGTGTGTGTTGTGTGTGTTGTGGTGTGTGGTGTGGTTGTGTGTTTGTGTACGGTGTGTGTTTGTGGTGTGTGTGTGGTGTGTGTGTGTGTGTGTGTGTGTGTGTGTGTGTGTGTGTGTGTGTGTTGCGTGTGCGTGTGTGTGCCAGGTCACTGAACAGTGGCAATTGATTACGAACCTATTTGGTGCTTACAGAGTTTGTCACGCGAATTTCGACCTAAAATGTTTCACAGTGGCGGCCTAATATCATTTGATGTACTTAGCAGTTGTTTGTGAGGCTAAGTGTGGTGTAGCTATATTGCGTGTGCATGTACATTTGCGAATATAAGTGAGAAAGCAAGATTAATATATTATGATAAATTCGGTGCTGTAACCCGTATCAAACCTCAGATATGTATCTCTGTCAAATAATACAGATCACTATACATGCACGAAGTCGGCGAAATTCAAAAAGCGGTTATAAATAGGTAAAAAGGTCACCGTCGAAAATAAGGGAGCTTTGTATATGGAATTATTTATTTTGGGTTTCAAAGACCTTGATTAAAAATAGCTCTCTAATAAGTAACAAATTTAAAATTTGAATAATTTTGCATTTAAAGTCGTCATTGAAAATGCGCCGTAAATACGTTGTCAGCACCTGATTTTCAATTTTCAATTCGTCAATTTTATATGAAAATTCGATCAAGTCATTAGTCATCGTTTCTTAAAATATTTTTAAAATTTTACTTGATCTTATATAATATTATATATATATATTTAATATATATTATATATTAATAATAATTAATGATTATATATATAGGGCCTATATATATATTCGGTATAGACGATATGTATTCTAAGAAATACTGTTCTGAGAATTTCACATGAACAAAACAAAACAAATACACTGGGTTGAGCAGCGAAATTCACTGAGTCCTCGATTGTGACAACAAGCTAACGAGCTTGTCCTTGAATAACGACATTTGTTTTTATGCACCCCTGATAACAACCTCACTGTCCCTACTAGGACAAGCCTCACAAATGTTTACTTGGTTCCTAGGGGCCCGGTTGTATAATGCATGAAAATAATATAATGAATATGATGATGGCCCGAACCAAAATTTAAGGTTGTATGAGTCCTACAATGAATGTTGGTTGCGTTAGGTATCGATTGTTATACGGCGTTTTACTAGCAAGGATCCGAGTCACGCTAGTATTGCTCACAGTCACACTCGACTGCTTTTTAAGTTGTCACACAATAAGGTGTTGGCCCTGACGGTGCAGAATCACATATGGGGGCCAGTGGCGCAACGGATAACGCGTCTGACTACGGATCAGAAGATTCCAGGTTCGAATCCTGGCTGGCTCGACATTTTATCGAAATTAATTTTGCATACTAATTCTCGTTGTACAGCTAATAGGAAAGCATCCACACGCCTATAAAATCTGTGTGTATATTACAATAATATAATTACTAACATTTAATCTATCTATCTATATGGTTGTATTTATTAATGCATATAATTGCTTAAATTATGATTCTATAGAACTGATATGTACGCTGTGTTACATACTATAAGTTTAAACTGTTTATTCCTACTACCTTAACGTTATTTCTTTCCAATTTTTAATTTGTCAGATTATATTCATTCGGTCGCGTCACATAATTTGCATATACGCGACGAACGAAGATAGATGAGCTGCTTTATTACTTATTTCGCTCGTCAAAATCATCAGATATTCGGCTCCTGAATTATAATTCATTAACGTGTCATTGTGTGATGACAGTTGTAAAAATATTCGAAGTAATTAAAAATCGCAGCGAAAGATTAAAATCCAATTTCTTCTTTGGTCGAGAGAACAGATCCTCTCGCACGCGTCGACTACGTATACGGGCAATGTATGCATGCAGCCTCTCGCGTGCGCACTATATATACACCCAGTATATTATCCTGTAATCATGCCATACGGCCATAGATCTCTTTGTGCAAACACTGAATCGATGAATAATGATATATAAATTAAATGTGTGCCGATATAATGTTTACACTGAATATTCAGGCATCAGATAACTTAAAAGACCAATTACGACTCGGTTAAACACAGCCGAGCCTGTTATTTGCAGTCGGCAGTATTGAATTTCGTGACTTTGCACTCGTACTATGGCGGCAGGCGAAAGCTGCAGGAAACCTTGTTAGGGCCGCATCCCCGCCGCGCTCTGCAGCTTCCCTCCAGCGTGCGCGCGCGTTCCCGCGGCAGGCGGAGACTGAAGCAGGAACTAATCCGTGTTGCGTGACGGTTACGATGCTGAGCAGTGTACGAGGGGCACGGACCTGCATGGCAGCGATTTCTGCGATACACGCTGCCGCCGGCTTTCAAGATCGCAGATAGAGCGTGTATATTACACACGCCGATATATCCGGGGGTCGAGGGTCGAGGTAGTGGTGGGGAATGCCAATAACGACGTCGGAAAGATTTCAGTTAATGCTTGACTACAATATATGGCAATGATGCGTTTGTACTTCGTGTAGGCTAGAGAAAACACTCGGTCGTGGACTCCTGTGTTCTGCAAGATGTTGTTATGCAGATAGCTGGCATTTCAATTCACTTATATGTATCGCTCTTGATGCTTAAAATGTGACGCATCTAGCATGTCGAATACAAGAAAATGTCGAATATACCTGGGTGTGTGCATGTATGTATTGCATATGTTGCACGTATTGAAGTCAAATGACCTGTAGAAATCATCTGTGGCTAATTTTGTCCTGTTAAACCCACGTGATATTTACAAGACCAATCGCATTCAATGATGTGTCGTCGATGATTTTCGGGCCATGGAATTATCACGCACACTTGGATTCACATTTATTTACACGAGGAAACCTATACGTCTATGAAGTTATCCAACCAGCACATAAACTGTATCAATGTATTTCTATAGGTTTATCAGTGTGCGACCTGCACGGTTATCTCGTATAGTATATATGAACCAGCGCGTCGTTTCGCATTCCACACTACAGAACAGCTTGACTTAAACTGTCATTAAAGCGACACTAAGAGCTTCGTAATTAAATTAACTAATATACCTGTCATATTTCTCAGGTGAGAGTGGGCATCTAGTGCCGGCTTGCCCATCGTGTGTAACGCATTCGGGTGGTAGCCTGTAACAAATCAAAACATCGCGTAAACTACACGAACATTACTGACATATTTATTAATATACTAAGTATGGCCTCACGGCAACTCTCAACGGTGTGATAACACATTAGATGAAAATAATTTCCTATCATATGCCAATTTCTAACGTGAGGCGTAATTTTAGTGGTATTTATACAGGTCACGTTAACGTTACGTTTTGCGAGTAGAGAGAGAGAGCGCGCGCGAGAGAGAGAGAGAGAGAGATAGATTGATAGAGATTGAGAGAGAGATAGATTGATAGAGATTGAGAGAGAG